TGGGTTCTGCGTTTTTTCTTTTCCCTCTGACCCTTCCCTGTTTGATATACGGCCCTGCTGGCCGCCGGGGCGGGGACCTGCTCCCACCGATGACTGTGCCCTTTGTCACCAGGGGCTGGCCAACGCAGAGGCCTCTGCCTGGCCCAGGCAAGTGGGCAGAGCAGGGGGCAGGCGGGAGAAAGAGCAAAGGCCTCTGGGTCAGGCTGCTGGGCGGACGCTGTCTCTGCTGCAGCCCGCTGGCAGACACAGGTCCTGCTGAGACTTCCGGGAGGCCATGTGTCACCAAGGCAGCGGGGTGCCTCGGGCTCCCTCCTCCCCAGTCTGCCAAGTAAAGCTGGGCTGGGGGGAGGGAAATGCTCAGTCAAGGGAACTAAGTATTCAGCTTATCACCTTTCAGAGGAATTCTGGATGGAACTAGAAAGTCCAGATGACAGGGAAACTGAGGCTCGCAGGCAGCGAGTCCTATGCAGGCCACCCAGCACCTCTCCAGACGCCTGCCCGCAACCTCCCCTCTCCCAGCTGCCTGTCCACGGCTCTTTTTTCAGCTCCCGCTCTCTGGACAAGAAAATGGAATCAGGGTGGCGTCTCAGGAGAACAGAACATGGCTTCCAGGCCAAGTCCAGCCTGGATGACGGCGGTCCGGGGAGGGCACAGCAAAGGTGGCGAGCGTGTCCCCTCGGCAGCGAGTGTGGGCCTGAGCGTCGGGGAGGAGCTGGCCAGAGCTGGGCCCACCCAGCCAGAGACGCGCAGAGGGATGGGCCCAGAGCGGCCCGTGGGTGCAGGACACCTGCACCGCAAAGGAGCCCTCAGGCCTCCAGGGCAGAGTGGGGCGAGATGTGGGTGCCTGCAGCACCTGGGCCTGCACACAAAACACCTGTGCACCCCCACAGTGCGCCTCCACACAGCTCCCTGGCCTGTGGGGGCAGGCACCCGCGTGAGCACTGAGTTCTGGCCTGAGCAGGTGTGTGGGCGGCCCCCACCCAGAGCAGGCCCAGAGCAGGGCCGGGGCCAGTTGAGCACAGTGGTCCTCTGCGGGGGAGGTGAGTTGCCATGGAGACCAGCGTGGAGCTGCAGGATGGGAGGCTGATGCAGGTGGATGCAGGTCGGGGGCGGCGGGGCAGGGTGGAGGGGGCGGCTGTGGAGGCTGGCAGGACCAGCAGGCTGGGGCGTGAGGAGAGGGGCATGGAGCTGGGGCTGGCCGACGCCCCACACCAGACTCCAGGGTCTCTGACTCCCCGGCAGTGGGGGTCTCCCTGTTTCTGTAGAGGAAGGGGGGGTCCAGCCTGGCAGGATGGTGGGTGGAGATCTCTCATCAGAGGGACCAGGCCCGCACCTCCCTGCCCCTCCGAGCTGGGGGCCGGCCTGGGCTTCTCCCGGAGACGCTTCTCCTCCTGTTCCCTGCCCTCTCTGCCTCCGCGACCCAGAGACTCTGGGGGGCCCTGGGAGGATCCTGCCCTCCTCCAGCCCAGGGCGAGGGGGGGAGGTGTCCAAGCCGGCTGGCAGGTGGAGTGCAAAGCCAGCTGGACTGGGAGCCTGGGCCCAGGGCTCCCTGAGGAGTGATGGGGCGCACAGCTGGGTAGTGCCAGATCAGCGAGGGAGGGGGGCCGGGGGGTGAGATGCGAAGCCAGCAGGGCTCAGAGCACTGAGAATGGAGCGGCCTGGAGAGAGGGCGCGCCTCTAGAGTCGGCGCAGAGGCGCAGGGGACAGTGGGAGGCTGCGGGAGCAGGGGCGGCGCCCACCGCGCCCACCAGGGTTTCTGTGCAAGTGTAGTTGCTCAGGCGGAAAAGTGTCTGTTGCCACGGCAACGCACGTCTTCCCTACCAAGCTGCGTCCCTCCGCGGATAAACAGTCTCAGAGGTGCCAGGGGCGGGTAAACCCTGGGGGCTTTCCAGGGCCAGGCCCAGGGGCGACCAGCACGCGCCCTGGGGCTCGCTCACGCTTACCGGCTGCAGCAGGCATGGTGCTGGGCACCGGGGACGTGGAGGTGCCTGTGCACTGTCTGTCCCCAGCCCACGGGGCTCCTGCTCTGGCAGGAGGGCGGGAAGACGGCACGGCCTGTGCGGCGGAGGCGGCCGTAGGCACGGGGAGGGCAGCCCGGGGGGAGGAGGTGGCGCTGATGATGGCCTGGCCGCACTCACCCCGGCAGGGGCAGAGCGGCACTGAGGTGGGGAGGGGGCCGAGCCAGGCCCCCAGGAGCCGGGGTGCGGGGGCGACGATGCCCGCCGGGGGCAGCAAGGCCGCAGCCAGCTGCTTCAGGCTGGGGGACCTTCTCCTCGGTGCCCACTTCCCTGGTCTGTGAGTGGGGTCACAGCGTGACGGGCTATGAGGGCCCCGCGCAGGGTGGGCGGGAGAAACGCTGTGGCCAGTAATGGGGTCCCCCCGCCAGCTTCCCGGAGGCGGGAGCAGGAGGTCCAGGCGCTGGGGGCGGCGGGAGCCCGGGGCCGGCTGCTCCCGGAAGCTCTCTTGGAGCCCATCCGCCCAAGCCTGCTGGCCCCAGAGGACACCGAGGCCCAGAGCGGGCAAGGGGCGTGGCCGGACACAGCGGCAGAGTGTCGGTGGACGTCCCCGGTGGAGGCGGCTTCCTGTCTGTCTGACCTGAATAAATAATTGATTTCTGGAGTTTAATGATTTAAAGGCCTCCCGTTCCATCCCTGCATCATCAGAAATAGAAACTTTCTTCTTTCTCATTCCAGATTTCTTTTTAAAGGAGCAAGTGGGAGCGGGGCCTCTGAGGGCTTTGTGGGGGTGGCCGCGCTCCCCAGCAGGGGCCGAGCGCGAGTCTCTGGCTGCAGGGTGGCCGGGGCCCCACGAGCGCCCGTCCTCGGCACTACGCTCAGCCCCGCCGTCCACGGAGCTGCCGGGAGGACACGGCAGCTGCTGAGCTATACCTGGGGCCCGCCGCGTGGGCAGCATCGGGCCGCTCCCTCCTTGTCCACTGGCCGCCCTCTCCTCCGGGGCAGTGGGCTCGCCGCCCCTGACTTGTTGAGAGCAACGGGGCTACCTGGTGGCCCTCTCTGTGCCCAGACCTGGCGCACAGTTGACCCACAGCCTCAGGCATTGTCCACCCAACACCCCAAAAGTCCGGAGCAAATGCTCTGGTTTCCTTGAGGACTTTATGGCCATTGACCAGGGCAGTGTGCTGGCCACCTGTCTCTGCTCATGAAGTCACCACGAAGCTACCCACTCGGCCTCAAGAGGCGGCTTTCCTTTTGCTCAGTCCCGAAAGCTGGAGGTCAGCCCCACTGAGAGTGTGCCCAGCCCCGCCCTGCTGTGTTCTGCAACTCTGGGTTAAAAACCGTCTCCTGAAAACGAGGCCAGGTGAGCCAGGGGGTGACCCCTGGGACAGGTGCCTGCGGCCCAAGGGCGGGGGAACCCTCAGGAGTGGCAGCCCAGCCGCAGGGGGCTACCTAAGAGGGAGAAGGACGTCTCCTCCAGGTATTCAGGGCACTCCTTTGCAAGGGTGGCAGGCAGGGGACCTCAGAGGTGGGCAGCCCATTGGAGGCCCTGAGCAATGTCCCCTGTCCCCTTCTGACTGGACCTGACCCCTGTCACCACAGTGGCCCCTGCTGGGGTTCCAGCCGGGCCCTGCCATCGACAGCTCAACACCTCTGTGCCCACGAAGTTCTCGCTCGCAAGCCTCAGCGCCCGCGTCTGAGGAAATGGACAGTTGGTCCTCTCCCAGACTCTCACACGGGGCTCTGGGCAGTGAAGGCAGGAATCCAATGGGGGAGAGCCCTCAGCTGCAGGGAACATCTTCAAGGTCAGCGTGAGAGGGGCCCTGAATGTCTGTCACCTGGGGACAGCCACTCCCGCGATCACCGATGGGCACTCTGAGGCCCGGGAGGGAGCGTCCCTCACCAGACCCGGCAGCAGGCCTGGCCGAGCTGGCCGTCCCTCTGGCTGAGAGGCCGCCTCATGCACGGAGGTCCCCTTTGCTCACAGCCCGCAGGAAGGCACAGGGGCCCACCTTGGTCTCAGTTGCTTTGGCAAGTAGCCAGCGTCCACACCCGCTCTGGGCAGCTGGAGCGGGGGAGGCGCCAGCTGCCAGGACGTCCGCTCCACAGGGCTGGTTGGGATCCGGAAGGGCCTCCCTCCTCAGCCCAGGCCCCCGCCACGCCAACCTGCCCCCAACTTGGTCAGAGATGTCCTCTCGGCTACCACCTCTTGCCTGGGTAAGTCCCACCACCCTCCTCTGCCCCAGGCCCCGGCTCCAGGACGTTCCTGGGGGAGGATGAGTCAGGTTGGAAACTGGCCAAGCCTTCTCCTTCCAGTCCCAGCCCCGGGCACTTCAGAGCTTCCAGATGCTGGTGACAACTCCTCACCTGCACCCAACCCCCACAGCCCTGCCTCCGTCCTTCTCACCTTTCTTGTCTTCACGTCCTGGAGGCCAACGGCCATTCTGGCGGTCACCCGTGCAATGGTGGCCGGTGGCTGAAGAAAGGAGCCACCCCACCTGGTGCAGCCTCCAGAGGGCTCCAGGGTGACCCCGAACCAGGGGTCCAGTGCAGACGGGGGTGGAGGGCAGTTGGGGACATGGGACTCACTGAGCTGTCCCCCTCCTCCTGGATCTCCCCCACCTGTGAGGACCTGTCCCAGACACCTCAGGGGAAGGCGAGGGCCCCACCCACTCACAGGTCCAGCTGGAACAGGAGAGGTCGGGCTGGGCCTTGGCAGGGGCCACGCAGGCTGGCTCAGCACGGCCCGAGCCAGAAAACGCCAGTGTGCTGAGTGACAGCTCCGTGACTCACCAGGTCACAGAACCTGGGCAGAGCGTGTCGGGGAACATGGGCTCGCGAAGCCCCGGGACCCGGGGAGGGGGCTCACACGCCGTGGGGGTGCTTGGCCCCTGGCTCCCCCCGCGATGTCCCAAATCCCGCTGTGCCCGAGGCCCGGAGGGTTCCTCACAGCCCCTGCCACTGCAGCCGGCCTCCCCCCGGAGCCTGGGCCCACCCTCCTGTGAGCAGCCTCTGCAGGCCCAGTCTTGCAGACGGCGCCGCAGTTCCTGTTTGGAAGAAGTCAGAGAAGGCGGTAGCAACGGCCCTGCTCAGACAGCGGCCTGTGTGTCCCTCCCACAGGGACGCGCCCCTGCGCGCCAGGTGTCCTGCCCCGTAGGGCCCAGTCCCCGGCCCATCCTCGAGCCTGGGTCCTCGTGGCCCCAAAAGAAACTCAGACGATTGTTGTAGCTCTTTCCTCTCTGCTTCTTTGTTGAACTTCAAGTCTAAGCATTTAGCTTTTGCTGCTTCCAAGTGGGGTACGGGGCTCTCTCCCTCATCTGGAGGCTGAGTTTTACATCCTGCGGATCTCTTGGGGTTCATTTAATGCTCAGGCCCAACCAGAGACCAAGCTGGGCCCCCGTGGGCACTGCTGGATGGCAGGGCTGCCTGTGGCACCTTTGGAGGTCAGCAGAAGCCTCGGGGCGGGCTGGGCAGCCTCACTGAGCTGGCCGAGCACAGCTGTGGTGGGGTTTAGTGGAGGCCGGCCGGCAGGCGGGGCGCAGCCTGAGGCCAGTAGAGCCAGCTCCTCGGGCCACGTGGCCCCGGGCAGGATCCAGTGGCCATTAGTGCCCCCGCTGGGGTGGGCGTCAGAGCGGGCAGGAGTGTGGGAGGCGGGAGGAAGGGGTTCCGCAGGAAGACGCAGCCAGCCACGCTGCATCTCCGTGGCAGTGGGGTGCTTAGGGGAACCAGCTGGCAGGAGCACCCGCGGTGGCCACGTTCAAGTCCTGCCTCACCGATGAATTTCGCAGGTAATTCCCCGAAGAGGTGGGTGGGTCAGGCCTCCACCTGGGGCTTTGATTTCCTCCTTTGTGAAGTGAGGTGAGGCGGGGTTCCGCCTGGACCTGGGTCGCCCCCTTTTAGATATTAGTCTCATACTGCCGCTAAAAGTAGGCAACTTCTTCAAATGCTGACGTTCTCCACACTCAGTCCTTGGAGAATGTAAAGAAGAAAATTAGCCAGCCCGGAAATCCTGTTTTTCAAGGCAAATTTCCTCTGGGTTATAAATAAGCAGGCCTGAGTGGAAGGGAGCCCCCACACGGGCCTGGGGGACCCACACTGCTTCGCACACACGTTCCTGGCTGCGCAGGAAACGGGGCACGGGGAGCCCGTATTCCTGTTGACAACGGCTGCCGAGGTAACATCCAGTCAGGCTGCCAACAGCTGGGGACAGCTGACTCTGCTCACTCACCCTGGAAATGACCAGGGGGCTGGAAACTCTCTTGGAATCACGGTGGGAGCTGACCTGCCCTCTGCCCGCGGCTGAGCTCCCGGACGGCGAGTTCGGTGCCCGGCCACGGCTGGCTGGGGCCAGGCCCGGCTCTCACATCTGCCCCCGCGTGGAGTCTGCTGTGCACTCTGGTCGCCTCCCCCGTGCCCTGCCTGCAACTTGGGGGGTTAGACGAGATGCACTGGGGTGCCATTAGCAGACTCCACGGCACAAGCTGACCTGGATCCTTTTCCCAACGGGAAAAATCTTCTATTTTGACTGCATAAGATTTTAAAGCATTAAAGTGGCAAAGGGTGCCCTAGGCCGAATAAGGAAGGTTAGGAAGAAAGTGAGAGACCGACGGGGGAACTTAGCTCCCGTAAGTAAAACCCATGACTTCATAGCTGGACTGATCAAATCACTAACTAGGGGTGTTGCTTGGCAGGGTCTGGGGTGGGGAGCGCACTGTGTTGTTTTAAATCAAACTCTGTTGAGGGATTTTCCCCACTGCAATGGTCTTCATTGCTTCGCGGCTCCATGCGGCCGCGTCAGCGCTCACTGACAGTTTAAGTCACAATGGATCTTCTGTTTCAATCAAAATAGAATACTTGTCCTATTTAATTCTAGATAAACTGATGATAATAAGCTACAATGGAATGGGAATACTATATTCTCAATCCTTGTGGATATTTGAAGAACATTAGCAGAGCGTTCAGTAAGAACAAGTAGCAAACTTCTGCAGGAACAAGGACAGCATTCACTAAACGGCAGTAACTGAAATGCGGGGCATTTCCAGGCCTGACCACCAGGGGGAGGCACAGCAGCTGCAGTTGGGCCAGAGCAGCCCTGGGAAGGGAGGGGGTGGCGTGGCCGGGGGTGCCCAACATCCGGCCTGGGGACAGGGTAGGCCAGGCGTGGCCACTTGGGGCGCTGCGCTCCTCCTGCTGAGTCCAGTTGGAGTTC